GGTTATATCGTAAGTTCGCAGTGAGACAACTATTGAAAATCTCCAACAAATTACGAATGCCTTCTTCCAATGCTGTTATATCCTGATGCTGAAGTAGAAATCGAAAAAATCTGCCTTCAAAAGTGTACGGCACGAATCGAAAAGAAAAATTTTCTACGCTCTAACTCAGAAAATAAAAAAAATTTTGAATAAGAAGAAAATAGAGTCATATAAAGAAGGAATTATGACCAACCAAACTTACATAGTTACGGGTTTGTTTTTCTTGTTCCAGTTCGTATTCTGCACTCACTCGCATATGTTCAATCAGCTTCGAGTGCCTTTTCGTGAACAACTGAAGAACCTCTGGTTTACAAAAAATAACTTTTCAATTAAAGTTTATGTTAAAATTGAGACTGAATATGTGTATATCGAAAACTCATAAACAGAAGCATACCTCCAACAAACCAACAAGACGTTGACAAACTGTTGGAGACAAGTTCTTAAAAGAAGATGACATATTCGAAAGAGCAGCGAGGCAGTTTGTGTGCAGATACCTGTCCTAAATTAACAACTACGATTATAGGTTTCTGAAAATAAAGAAAGGCTAAATTATTTCGATAAGCAGTCACTTTGGTTTTTAAAATATTCATTTGAATGGTTCGTACTAAGATGATTATTATTAGCCCGCCAAGAGATATTTCACCAAGAAAACGGTCAGAAGCAAGCCATGAGGTGTCTTTGATGACCTAAACATTAAATGACTGTACAAGTAAGTCTTCAAAACCCAACTTTTCAAAGTTTCTAATAGGCAAAATTACCGTTTCGTGAACTATCTTACAGAAGAAATCGTCTTCACTAAGAATTAAGATAACTATAAGTGCAAGATAAACATGGTGAGAATTACTGAAAGATAAGGCTCCACCACAGCTAGCTCCATCGTGCAAAACTCTAAGTACAGGAACAACCTAAATAAGTCTTAATTAGCAACAAGTTAAGTGCCGCCAAATATGGTTAGAAATAATACCTACCAAATTTTCTAAATTAATCCTCGAGAGAACGTAGTTGCGGAACATAACATTTGTGTGCAGCAGCAGATACAAGAGAAGCATGGGAGGCTGCTCACATACGGTGGCGCATAGACGGTCATACAGTACGCTGTAGTCAACTTTAAAAACACTACCCTCACCACTCCCGACAGAAGAAACTTCTAAATAGTAAAAATTTCAAAAAGCAAACTAAAGTAAGTTTAGAAAACATGATGCCATTTGCTAAATTTACGCAAGAAAAACAACTTTTAGACATCAAATAATTTGATCTAAATTTCAAATAGGAAATACTTAAGTTACAAAAAAATCTTCTAAAAAGATAAATGAACGTACCGCACCTTGCGCATTTTCAAACTTTGAGAGCGCATCTTTGTATGCATTATTTTTTCCTTCCGGACACTGATGGCAAGAAAGGTTAAGCAATAGGAGAACTGAAATGGAACCCAGCGACGCTGGAGGTAGCCTCAATGTCTCATCTGCTGTTGAACCAGCATCCTCCATGCCTGCTGCATTCTGCACGGCAGACCATAAAGAAGCTTTAAAAAAACTTGGTCATTTTTCAATGAAACAGGGAAACCAAAAGAATGGAGCAAACCAGTTACAAAATTACTATTTGAAGCAGGCTGTCTACAAACTTTCGTGGCCAAGGAATTCTAACCAGCTAAGCTTAAAATAATGCTTTCAGGCTCCTTCTCTTTCCTCTTTACGTAAGGTACGTTATGTTGCAAATAATTTGTTAGAAGAGCTTTCGTTAACTCTGCAGATCTTGAAGAACTAAAAAAAGAAGTTGCTAAAAAATATATGTAATTAATTAAGTTCACAGAAGTAGTTTTAAAAATGTAAATGGCTTATTTGTTTTTGACTAATAATGGCACTGCACTACAAGAAAGTTAAATTAGCTAGTAATTCATAGTGGTATAAGTACAAAAAAGAACACGTACCATTTTCCCTGAATTAAATACTGAAAGAAAACTGAGGATGTAAGGACATTGTCATGATACATCTGTGAACTGAGGATTACTAAAAGACACTTGACCGCCTCCAAGTGAATCACCATAGTGGAGTTACTAAAACGAAAATTTTAATAAGTGGAAAAGTAATAAATATAAAAACTGAAAAAAAAAA